AAAAGCCATCCCAGTGCCTGTTTGCCTCTTTTGCCACCTGTGCAAAGGGACTGTCCTGCTCCAGGGTGTAGCTTCGACTGCAGGGACGGCTGGATCCACTTAGGGAACAGGTTCATTGCTTCCCTCCCAGTGTCTGACCCAGGAGCAAGAATCTTCTGCCACAGGACAGCAGCCCTCAGGCTGCTGTGAGCTCCTCCTGCTGATTCCCTGGGCCAGCTCCCTGGGTCATATCCCATGCGCATGGAGAGCCTGGACACAGCCCAGGAAATCCTGTCCCAAATAGCTGTCACTAGGTTTGAAGGTGAATGAAGGTTGGGATGAAGTCCCTGCCATCCCACCTGAGGGCACACCATGGTGGTAGCCCTCTCCAGGCAGGGGATTTTGGGCATGAGAGCTACAGAGAAACTTCATTCTTCTCTGCAGCAGGAAGGAAATGAAGGGAAGAACACCTGGGAGCTCCTTCATGATCAGCAGTTTTCCCAAGTATTCCCATTCCATCCCTTCCCTGGGAGGGTGGGCAGGCCCTGGCACAGGGTGCCCAGAGCAGCTGTGGCTGCCCCTGGATCCCTGGCAGTGCCCAAGGCCAGGCTGGACACTGGGGCTTGGAGCAGCCTGGGATAGTGGGAGGTGTCCCTGCCCATGGCATGGGGTGGGATGGCATGAGATTCAAGGTCCCTCCCAACCCAAACCCCCTGCCATGGGCAGGGACACCTTCCAGTATCCCAGGTGGCTCCAAAATAAAGACTTGCTGTTGTGGGTCTGGGGCCAAAAACAAAACAAAATAAAACAAAACAAAAAACCAAAAACAAACAAACAAACAAACAAAAAGCCAAACCAAAAAATTAGAAAACCAAATTGTTCCCCTGGATCCCTGGCAGTGCCCAAGGCCAGGCTGGACACTGGGGCTTGGAGCAGCCTGGGATAGTGGGAGGTGTCCCTGCCCATGGCATGGGGTGGGATGGCATGAGATTCAAGGTCCCTCCCAACCCAAACCCCCTGCCATGGGCAGGGACACCTTCCAGTATCCCAGGTGGCTCCAAAATAAAGACTTGCTGTTGTGGGTCTGGGGCAGCCTGGGATAGTGGGAGGTGTTCCTGCCCATGGCAGGGGTGGGATGGGATGAGATTCAAGGTCCCTCTCAACCCAAACCCCCTGCCATGGGCAGGGACACCTTCCAGTATCCCAGGTGGCTCAGAAATAAAGACTTGCTGTTGTGAGTCCGGGGCCAAAACAACAACAACAAAAAAAAATTAGAAAACCAAATTGTCCTTTCACTCCCAAATTGTCCCTGAAACTACCAACACCTTCTCAAAAGAACATCTCCCAGTGGGGATGTGATTCCTTTTGTTCCAGAGTTTCCAGGCTGATGGAGAGCCACAGAGTATTGTTCCAGAAAGGGTCAGCAGTTTACTTTTGGAAGAAGGAAGGTGTAACAAATAATTCTCACATTTCTTGGCAAGGAGAGCGGTGGGCTGGAAACGTGGGTCTGTTTGGAATAAGCAATTCTCCTGCTGCTCTCGGGCCCCTCAACTGCTCCTCAGAGTCTGGAGACCAGGGTAGAACTCCTGAGCACCTCCTAGCACCCTTCCATGGGAGGTTTGGCTGTGGAATTGCAAAGGAAGCAGGGCTGAGGAAGACCAACAAGGTGGAGCCTGACCCTCGAACCAGGATGGTCATGTGTATTCCCTGTTTGGGAATGTGCTGATGGACTGAGGAGCCTTGGATAGGCCTTCATAAAGTCATCTTAGTGTCTTGATCTGAGCAAGGGTGTCTGGGCTGCTGTACAGTCAGGTTGTGTGTGTACATCATAGGATTTTTGTAATGTATTCCTGGAATAAAATGTCAGGGTTCAGGATGTGAGATGAAGGAACAGAAAAATGAGGGTAGCTATCAGTTCCCTGTCAGAGAATCCCACTGTGCTGCCAGTCAGGCCTGTTGGCAGGTGAGTTGTCACCCAAGGAATGAGCCAGAACTGTGAGGGGAGAAGATGGGTGGACATGGAACATATCCACAAAATCCACCCTCAGCAGTTCCCCTGGATTGGCATGGAGTGGAAATGTCCCGCACAGAAATCATTTCCCCCTCATCTTTCTGCCTGGTAGTCCACATCCAGGAGCTGAAGGTTGTTCAAGAACAAATGTGTGTCCAGCCCTGGAGCTATTCAGGAATGGCTTTCCTGGAAAAAAATTCCTAAGGAGCCAATCTGCTTTTGCTCAGTTTAGCAAGAAGAGAGCCATAGCTCCAGCTTGGCTTCCCTCAGCTAGAGAGAGCCAATGTCCTCTTGATTTGCTTTTATGTACATGAAGTTAATGGGACCATCAGAGACTGACCTGATTCTGTGGCACGTTCAGCATTCCAGCAGCCAGTTGCATCCAAATGATTTAACAGCACATCACCCAAAAAACAACCCTTGCTTTAGCAATTTGGGGCAGAGCATCAGCTGGAAGAGCCTGGCAGACTCCAGGTAGCTTGGGGAGGGCAGGCAGAGGTGGATGTCCCCTCCAGGCTGCACCAATGACCATAAATCAAATGTGGCTTTGCTGAAGGTGATGGAGTGGAACCAGTGTCAACCATGGTGTGTGTGAGGAGAAACATCTTCATCAGTGGCAATAAATGTATTGACCCCCTACTCATTGATTCAAGAGCCCAAGTTTAGGGTTTTAGCTCCCAAAAGGAATATTTTTGTTACAGACTCCAACCCAAGCCCCAGTCCTTACATATATTGCTGCAGGGTTTATTTGCTGCGGTTTTTCCAAGCTCAGAGGCATCAGTGAACTCCAAGAGCCTGTTCCTCAAAGCCCTGCTTTGTGTGACCATCACATTTGTGTGATGATTCCTTGACAGCAGCAAGGAATAGGTGGGAGTGACCCCACAGCAGGCAGAGCTTGCCAGCCTGCAGGCCCCAGGCCAGCTGGAAAATTCCATGGTGGTGCTGGTGGAACTGGGCTGTGGGAAGCTCAGCAGATATTTCTGTCCATCCTGGCATTGTTATTTGAATGTGGAGCACCAGTGATTGGTGTTTGCACCTCAGGAGGACTTCAGCTTTATCTTCCCTCCTCAGCTGGAGGCACCACATGGAGGGAAGGCTCTGACCCAGGACAATTCTTCCTGCTCTGTCATGATGATGCTTTTGGTACCAATGGCTTCTCCAGGTTTGCTGCCAATCCAAACAAGCTGTTCCTGAACCTGAAAGATTCCCCAAAATCACCTTTCTGTGGATGGGCTTCCTGCTGCTACTGCACACATCTAGCTTGCTTCCAAAGCCCTAATCCAGGATTTCTAGGCTGGAGCAAAAGGCTAAGAAAGAGATTCTGCTTGTAACCAGGTGCCTGCAGCAAATATTTGTTTCAGGGTGTGGCATTATTATCCCTGTGCCCAGCACAAAGCTCTGCTGCAGGGTAGAGAAAAGCAGAGCAGAGATTCAAATCTTTGAAATGAGGGATATCTGGAGACAGGGATTCTGGATGCCCAAAATTAGCTTGGGGTAAAGGACTTTTTAGTCCTGATGGGAGATGATTCCCCCAGGAGCCATGGCAACCCTGGAGAGGCATTTTTGTACCCTGATGATTGTGGGGTGTGACCTGAGGGCTCAGGCTGAGGGCAGCTTGGAGGAAGGAATCCCAAATCCCTGTTGCCCTCAGTGGGATCTTGGAGAAATAAAAATCCTGTTGAAAATCTATGGAAAGCCCTACTGGGATTATTTGGGCAGTATTTGGGCCACTGAGATGGATATGGAGCTTTCAGCCCTGGCTTGGGTCCCACTGAGCCCTCATCTCACCAGGAAGGTGACAATGCCATAGCTGCTCCAGTGACACTTTAATGACATGGAGAATCAGCATTTCTAGAGTAGAGAAGTAGGTAAGAGTAGAAAAATGCATTTTCAAGGGTTTTTTTTTGTTTTGTTTTGATTTTTTAAAGATTTTTATCTTTTCAGGTGCTGTTTCCTATAAAAATTCATCCAATTGTCTTAAGCGGGTGAGAAAGCAGAGTCAAAATTTGATATTGAATGTTTTATTCTAAATTGACTATTTATTCTAAACTGATTAAATACATTGTTGCACCCAAGGTGAAATTCCCCTTTTCCAATTTTGACAGAAAAATTGAAAAGCTGAAAAGGTCCTTCACAGTTTCCTCCTCTAAGGCCCCTCTTCACTTTCCCCAAAGCCAGAACCAGAGCAAAAGCTCATCTCCTGATGTGCTTTTGCTTCATAGAGATGGGAGATGTGAGATGAACTAATGAGAATGATAAATTATAAATACATTTTATTTTCTTTCCTGCTACAAAATGCCACGATAAAGAACATTAGGGTAGAATGGTTTCAGATTGAGGGTGGGGAGAACCTGGCACAGGGTGCCCAGAGCAGCTGTGGCTGCCCCTGCATCCCTGGAAGTGTCCAAGGCCAGGTTGCCCACTGGGGCTTGGAGCAGCCTGGGACAGTGGAATGTGTCCCTGCCTGTGCCAGGGGGTGGGAATGAATGAGCTTTAAGGTTCCTTCCACCCAGACCTTTCTGGGATTCTGTGAAGTCATGAAAAACTTTGGATATCTACAGAGCCATGTCTCACCTCCTGGACTTTCATGGTCTCTGAAACACTGGTGACTTTCACAGCCATCACCCTGGATATCTTAAGCCAAGCACCAGATTTTCACAGGTTGTTTAGCTTTTTTTCTTATGATCTTGTTTCTCACATGCTGGAAACAGGATTTGGACATAATCCTCATCCAGCGGAAGAAAAAATGTTGGGGCTGTGGTGGTGCTGGCACTGGTTCTCAATGTTTTGCTGTTGTTAAGTGAGTGCAAGTCTATCAGCAGTGGGAAAGGGAAGCAGAAGGCCCCAAAGAGTGATGAATCAGCAGAGAAAGGGGCTGGGTGCTGGAAACGTGGTGGGGAAGTGCTCTGGGACAATGAGTGAGGTGGTTGGAGCGGCGTTCTCTGCAGTGCTGGGAATTGAGCAGCTGGTACCCAGCACTCCAGGTTTTGCTGCCTTTAAAGGCCTTTCCTTAATCCCACTTTACCCAGGACAGGCGGGCTGTCAGATCTGCACAAGGGAGAGAGGAAAACACGGTCATTTCAACATTAAAATTACCTTCAACAACTCAACTATCCAGCCTCTCCACCAGAAGAGCCTCATTCAATTGGTTCTTTCCAAGTGGAGCTCTTCAGGACAGGAAGCGTGGCAAAAGGGGGATCCCAACGAGAAATATTTGTGTTCTTTAAAATCTGTTAAAAGTAGGGGAAGCTTGCCACTAAAATATAAATTTTATTTGCAGTCAACAGACTTGTAATCAGTGGTGTGTCAGGAGTAATCTTCCCAGTCATCCAGATAATAGAAATTAATAGGAAAGGAGAAAAAAGTGGATTAACTTTTCCTTTCAAGTAAACTGATTGCTTTTCCACTGCTGGCTGTGTCCCTTTAGCACTTCCCTGTAATATGAAAGAGGAATATTTCTATTTACTGACTTTTCTCTTTCCTTACTTGTGCTGTACTTTTTGAGGGCTCATTTTGAAGGCCCCTTTCCAAGATCCAAAGGAACATATACAGTAAAGGAACAGAGTTGGAAAGGGGATTAATTAACTTAAAATGCAAAGTACCAAGAACTACTGCTCCTCCCTGCTCTAAGCAGCACAAAACCTGTTGCCTTCTGAGATTGAGGCCCTGTGTTGGGCATTTTGGGCAATTTCCCATCTTGACCACACAATGGCCTGATGAAAAATACATTCTGGAGGAAGAAGGCCTAAATTCATTCCAGCTAGGTCAGAGATTAAGTACAAACCAAACAGAAAACTGAATAACAGCCCTCCACTTTAAAATAGAAATAATGGTATAGGATTGTAAATTGCAAATAGACATTTACTTCCCCATATTGTGAAAATAGCTTGAAATTTGAACACTCTGTCTTGTGCATCCTGGTTGATGTGTTGAACTGTAACCTCTGAGAAACTCTGGGCTACTGGAACATCTGTATTTTAAGAAATTAAATGCTGTTTTTGTCCAAACCCAGGTGTTTTTGTCAGTCAAGCACAACCTAAAGAAAATCTCTACAGAAAACATAGGAAATGTCTAAGGGACATCAGAAAAGAACAATTTCGCACAGAATTTTTTAAAAAGTCTAAAAAAATATTCTGAGAGTAAAAATCTTTCCTCTTTGTAAAAAGCACCTTAGCAAGTTGCTTTTGGGTGGTGGAGGGGGGGGAATTTTTAAAAGAAAAGCAATTTTTAAAAATGTTTAAAATTTTTTAATTTTTTTTTTGTTTATTTTTTAAAGAAAAAATTCGGCTTAAAAGAAAGTTAGGGAAGCGGGAGAATTATGATTTTCTGCTGCAACCTGATTGAGATTTCCTCTGTTTGAAGGTCATTTCCCGGCCGTTCCGGAGCTATTTGGGTGTGACAAGCGGCTGCCCCAAATCGACTCCCGAGGGTTGCTCTGCTCCCCCCAAAGGCCGCCCGCCCTGGCTCACCGCTGGTGTTCCAGGCCGCGCGCCGCGGGCCGTGGGCGCCGCTCCTCAGGCACCGCTCCACGTAGGCCTTGGGGTGGCAGCCGGACAGGAGGATGTCCCCGAGCAGGGCGATGTAGGCGGTGGCCAAGCGCAGCGTGTCGATCTTGGAGAGGCGCCTCTCGAAGGGGAAGGTGGGCACGCGGCCGCGCAGCTCCTCGAAGGCCGCGTTGATGCCCAGCATCCGCCGGCGCTCGCGGAGGTTGGCGGCGCGGCGCTGCCGGGGCTGCCCGCGGGGCTCCGGGGCGACTGGGCACTTGTCCAGCTCAGCACCCCCTGGTTCTGACCAGGAGGGCTCTGCCAGGCACTCCAGGAGAAAGTTCTCCAGCTGAGTGTCGGGATCTGGCGGCTCCCAGAGGAGAGATTCCGCGGTGGGGTCTCCCTCCTCAAAGCTGTAGCAAAGCTCTTCCATGCCCTGGCTGCCAGGCTCAAGGGACACTCACAACTTAAACTGGTTTATCTATAAAAGGGGGTTCTAATCTAATCAACAGCCCCCACCCCAACCAATGCGGGCAGGGAGTTCTGGCTGCGTCCTTGGGGAAGATGATGGAAAATTTTTCCACAGTTGCAAATCCAAGTGGGACTCGGGATTTAAATACTTCATGTCTTCTCAGCAGGAAATACTTCATGGCTCCTCTTCTCCTCTCAAAACTAATTAGTACACGTGCTTCCCTTTTTATTAGCCGTCCACTACAAAACCATATGAATGAATTGAAGACAGAATGAGATTTCTATTGACTTTCTCCTGGAAAATCCATTGAAGCAGTTATTGAGCCCTTCCACAGGTCCAGTCTCTCCACCTCCTGTTTAGAGGAGGTTCACAGAGGGATTTTGTTTGGTGAGGAGTGGTTGGAGGAAGGAACAAAATAGTCCTTTATCTTTTTGGTGAAGCATTAATAGCCCCACAAAATGGGAACAGATAAAATGCTATTATAGTGCTGTCACAAACACACGGTCCTGTGTTTGACAGCACAAGACAGTGGCATCTTCTGTTCCTCTGGAGAGGGAAGGTGTGGGATGCACTGCTGTGCAAAACTGGGGCACAGTGGTACCTCATTAAGTGAGCCAACACCCCCTCCTTTGGCTGCTGCATTTCCCATCTACACTGGAATGAATCACACATTTGCTCGGTGGACATTCAATGCTCTGTCGCACACCAGGGCTGTAAAACCACAGAGGGCACAGTCCTGGAGTGATGGAGCAGGTGGGCCACACCCCTGGAAGAGCTGGAAACTGGGAGAGCAGCAGGTATCCAGCACGGCAGGGATGGGGTGGAAGGTGTTAAGCTACACCAGAAGTTTAGGGCAGGTACTTAATGTGTGTGCTTCGTTCTCTTTTGTTTCCACAGTGCTTATGGCCAATGTCTAAATTAATTCAGAAATAGTTCAAGTCATATTTTTAAGGACTTGAGTGAATGGAAAGGAATCATGGTTAAAGTTAGAGCAAGCCTAAATACTTTTCCTGAAACAGGTCATAAAGAACTTCTATAAAGGTACTTAATCACGTGCTTGACTTTGTGCACAGGCTCCCATTCTGCTGCAGTGTGGTGAAGTTTCAAGAGACACCTGTGAAGTTCGTGAGCCATGGACAGATTCCTGACAGGACAAAGCTGAACAGCTTCAGGTAAAGAGCCAGAGAGCAGAAAACGACCTGCATTTATCCTGGATCCCGGGGGATTCTCAGGTTAACCATCTAACAGGGTCTTAGGATGCGGTCCTGGCAGCTTTGCCCTGGGAAAAGCGGGATTGACTTTAGGATAGAGCACAGGCTGTTATGGTCCTGTCTTAGCAACCTGGCATTTTCCCTTGTGGCAATTCTTGTCCCAGGAAGCTTAAGGCAGCAGAAAACAGGCTGCAGGAAAGGTTCTTGCAGAGTAGTTGTGAGAAGGTGGCACTTTAGGAAACATTAGGGCTGCCTTTGTTCTTCCTGTTCTGCAAATTAAACAGGAAATCCATTAACCGTAAATATGCATAAGAAAAGAAAATGCTAAGTGTGACAATTCAAGAATCATTAGGGTTGGACAATAGAGGACAAATGGCTGTTAAATAATTCGAGTTTGTCTTGCTTCCTCTGGTCAGATCAGGGTGGGAATTTTGTGCTGGTTTTGTACAAAGAACATGATTTGTTCTGATGCCAGCGTGCCAAAGAACACAAAATTTTGGTGTAATGAAAGTTCACGGTTCAGGCACTGAACCCCAGCAAGGAGCAGGGAAGGAGGGGATGGATGCACGAATGGCCACAGTCGGAGGTGGCAGAGCTGAGCCTTGAACTGAGAGTGATCAGTGTGGAGTCCACTCTGCAATGTGATTTCTTTGAAATCGCGGAACCATTAAGGCTGGAAAAGGCCTTTAAGTTCATCAAGTCCAGCCGTGACCCCAGCTGTATTTCCCAGTGTCCTGTCCAAGCAATGCTCCCAAAAGAAACCACTCACTCCAGGTTCTCCTCCAGCTCCCCAGTCACTATGGAGCCGAGCTCTGGTGGTGCTCATCTGGCACAAGCAGAAGACATTTGAAAATACCAAAGTGGGGAGAGAACAGCTCCTGGAAAGTGCTCTGGAGGAGGCACTTGTCCACTGGGAACAAGGGGCAGAGAGCAGGGGGCTCGGCAGATAATTGGGTGAGTTTTGTGTGCCAGGTTCCCCTCTCTGAGCAGATGCTTCCCTCCCAGATCCATCACTGCTAGCAGTGTAGCCTGGGGATATGTCTGGCTCCACAGATGCAGAGCAGATGTTCCAGCAAGCCTCCTTTTAGCATGTTCAAGGGGAATTTGGCTCTCTTGGAGAGACTCTGGACAAAGCAGGAGGGGGAAGGGGAGGGGAAGAAAGAGAAAATAAGAAAAGGTTTCCCCTTGGAAAGCCAACTATGAAAGAGAGAAGACGAGGTTCCCATCCCTCACATGAGCAGCCCTCACCACAACTCCAGACCTGCTGCACTCCCAGGGTTTCTGCAGCTCTGCTCATCAGAGAGGGAGGGAATGTGCAGATAATTGGGCTAATTTTTCACCTGTCTGGAAGTTGTTGGTTAAGGAATGTCCCAAAGGGATTGAGGGAGCAGGGTACCACCCTGAGCAGGGGTGCTGTTACTTATGATATGTTGCTATAATTTCAAGAGCTGCTCAACTGCTGTTTTCTCCCGAAGCCCTTCAGCTCCAGTGGGATCCAGAAATAACATTTGACTGCTGGTCATTTTTAATCAATAGGGTCTGATGAAAGCAAATTCTTGAGTCAGGATCTCTGCCCTGGATTTATGTCTGTGATAGGCAACGGAGCCATCATTGTTTGGGTTTGGATTTTCCAAGTCTGGATATCCACATCTGCCTTTAAAAACTTTTCTATCATGCTAGGAATGCTCTTCTCATCCTTGTCCCCCTTCCTCTGCCATCTACACAAATCCACCCACAACAAACACTGTGATTTCATGGATTTTTGGGTACACACCTGCTTTCAGGAAATATTTCCACTGCAGTTTTTTTTTTTTTCCAGTGCCTTAGAAGCTGGAAGCTGTTACCATGTACCTGGATCTCGAAGATAAATGGGTCACCTGAGGTTATATTGGAAGTAGATTTTTCTCTCCCTTCTTGTCCCATTTGCTTTATTTCAGACTCAGCCTGGGGAACCTTCCCACTGATAAAACTGATAATTATTATTAATACTTTCTACTTCATTTTTTTTTTTTTCCTGGGAATTCAGCTTGAATACGTTTCCATCATCTTTAATTGCTCAATAAAGGGAGTCAGCCCTTGGCCTGGACAAAGAACAGATGGAGAAAGGACCAGATGCTTCACTTTCAAGTGAGATGACTCCAAAGCACAAGTCCATCATGTCATAGCTGCTAATCCAATGTTACACTGTGCAGCTCATCCTCAGAACTGGGAATTGGGGCCCAGATGAGCAGGGAAGAGCAGATGAAAGTTGAAAAAAACTCCCGGGGAAGGCTTTATCCAGGTGGGGCTGTGCAGCTCATGGTGCTGTGGCTCCCTCCACATGTGTGAGTGAAGGCAGTGCCAAAATGCAGCTACAGAGCGATCTCCAGGGACTGGCTGGTGGAGCTGCCTGGAGTCCCAGCCAGAGGGGGGGACACCAAGGTCCTGGAGCTCCTCTGGAGCCACCAGCCAGGCCTGGGACACCTGAATCACTGGGCACGTGGTTTGAGAACAGCTGGGGGCAGGAAAAGTGCACGTATTATCATTTAGCCATGGAATGTGCTGCTTTTTAACCTGAAAGGATTGTGGATGTGAGGACATAATGAGAAGCAGAAGAAGGATTTCCAGGGCAAGAGCATTTCAAAGGGCTAATGGCTATTCCTGGGATGCTCCAGTAATTGTGAAGTGAAGCTTTGCAGGATGTTGATTTAAGTGAAAAGGTAACAGGACTTTTATTATTTGCTGGGTAGAAACCTCAGATGTCAGAGATTGTGGAGGAAGACACTGGTGAGTGGTTGTTAATATAACTTTGATTTATTTCAAATGTAGGATAAATGAATCAAGGTAGTCTCTACTTTAAATGCCTTTGGTGTTTAAAAGTGAACACAGTCCCTTTAACCTTTTGCAGAGTTACAGAAAGTTAATCCCAGTCTCCAGAAGAAGGAAGGTATTTTCTCTCATAAAAACACTCACTGGAGGTTTCCCCTTTCTCCCAGAGCCTTTTACCTGCCAGGAGTTGACCTCTGGGCTCCTGCTGCCGAGGGATTCCTTATCCAAGCCACTGCTCTGGGACTGCTTGTGTGAGGGAATGGTCATTTTAGGGAGATGCCAGCCTGTGCTTTGATCTCAAAGGGTGTGGAAGTGCTCATGGAGCTCCTGAAGGAAAGTGGTTTTCCTTGTAGAATGGACTTGGAAAGTTGTTTGCCCAAGGAAGCTGTGGCTGCTTCACCCTGGAAATGTCCAAGGCCAGGATGGAGGGGGCTTGGAGCAACCTGGGATAGTGGAAGGTGTCCCTGCCCATGGCAGGGGGGTGGAATGAGATGAGGTTTCAGATGCCCTCCAACCCAAACCATCCCATGATTCTATAATGCTCGAACCATCTGAAACATCCCCCCAGCAAGCTAAAATAATGCTGGGATTGCAGATAATTCCCATGAATAACCCTGTGCCCATATTCAATGAGAAATATCTATAGGGAGAAGGAAGTTTGTCATTCATGTGACATGCTGTTCTTAGTGGTTTTATTTGGATATCTCTGAGTGGTGACTTTAGGTACCTTGCTCACAGAAGGTTTGGGTTGCCTCTGTAGAAAACATGTTTTCTGCAAGATGCTTGTACAGCTTTTATTGAGGTTGGTTACCCATCCCTGGAGGCCTTTCTTTAGGTACAAGAAATACTGAATATCTGTGGGTTTTGTCATCATTACTTAATGAAAAAAAAAAAAAAAACAGAGGAAAAAAACCCCCAACCCACTGTATCCCATACCTGTTC